CCCCAAAACCCCAAAACCCCAAAACCCCAAAACCCCGCACACAGCCAGCAGAGTTGAGAGATAAACTAGCTGTAAGGGTACTTTAAACACTCAAGTGGAAATGCATTGATTTCTAGGGGTATGCGGCCATATAAACTAAGTCTTAGAAATCCTTAATGAAGCACTCTGAGTTACCACTCCCAACAACAAAATTGGGAGGCTTCCTGACTCTACAGTTCAGTTGTCTGATCTTGTTTTCCACCAATAAGAACTCCTTTGAAGTCAGTTCATTGGCTGACTTCTGTTCTTTGGGCTTGTTGAAGTTTCTCAACTTTTTGTTGTTGAAAATCGGAAGAATCTTGCTTAAGTCTGTGGTGTTGTGGTAGCCTAGAAGTTGTGAAATATGCTGAGCTATCCCATATATCATTAAGTATCAAGAAAAATAACATGCTCTCATACCTTTAGAAAACCTGATTTTTCTGTGAAATCTTCGTTTCTTTCAGAAATTGCCTACATTGTTAGCTTAAAGTGGCTCGAAAACATACCGACGATGACTTTCTTCGACTTGCCGCCTTCTCTCTCAATCTGATACTTGGATAGCACTCTACACCTGATGTTCTTGCAGCTGACGGCTCTAAGTCCATCAGCAATTTGGTCTCTTAAGAGAAGTCTGTGCTGATCTTCGGCACGAAGATCTTCGAAGGCCTATGAATTAGTGAATAAAGTTTGTACTTCTTTGGTCTATATTTAGTAGATGCTTTTAGACTCTGCTTGCACTTATACTTCTTTTCAAACTGATGCCTAGCAAATTTAAATTAAGCAAATACGCATGAAATCAGAAACATGAGGTATTTAATATGTAATAGACAAATAGAGGTATTGGTCATAAATTCATATTGACCTTCGATCACAGTGCTAAATATTATCAGACATGTTTCGGTTGCCATCTAGCAACACTGGTCTGTTCTTTTAAATGCCAAAATTATGGTATAAGTTAAAAATCTTACTCTTGCTCTATTAAACTGCCTGGTCTGTTTTTGTTGGCAGAGATCTTAAATGAAGAACTGTTAAAATTTCTCTTTTGGCTTCTCACATATGATCAAACAGGTGAATAATCCTGGATCTTAGCTCTCATAGCTTTGAAGTTACCGGGAGAATACAAGATCAACGAAGAAGCTAGGGGAGAACTTGGAGACAGCCTCTGACCAACTATGGTGTTATTAGGGTCTTACATGCTGAACTATTTCTCATCAATCTATTGGCTTTATGCATGATGCCAGAGTTCTATAGCGATAAAGTCATGATTCCAAGCTAAAATATTAGAATTTGTGAGATAATTTTTTATAAAATACTAATGTGTCTTTTCGATGATATTCCAATCCAGCCATTATCAGCATTTGACTTTCTACTGAAGTAAATCCAAATAGCAAAGCTCTCTGGCTGACTCAACAATCAACTTACCTCGGGCTTCCGAAATAATTTGATATCTTCATTTTCCCTCAAATTCATTCTGCTCTTACTGACTACACTCACTATATCAACACCATCAATTCCACACCCTCAAAATTGCTCAAAAATACTCTAAACCAACTCCTAACCCTCTTTTAACCAATTCCCAAAATCTTTAAAAATAAAATCCTAAATTTCCTTCTTTCAAAAATTCCCCTCTAACCAAAATTAATAATCTACTAAAATGCCATATCCTCGTTCACCCAAGCTGGAGAGGGACTAACCTTGCATATTCAAATATATCAATATTTTATTTTATCGTGGGGTTTTGGGGTTTTGGGGTTTTGGGGTTTTGGGGTTTTGGGG